AACCGAAAATTTCGGGTTCGCGACATCACTAGTCTAGGCTCATGTTTGGGGCGAATCATCTTGGAAGCTGCATTCATCTTCACTATTCCTCTACTCCTTGCTGCAGCTATAATCACTTATGCTCAGCTCTTGGGAAAGGAATAGAAGACCGCAGTACTATAACCACTGCCCACACTAATTAGATTCTATTTTTCTTTGTAAAGATGAATGTATCAATCAGTTAATCATACAGGTTAGATTGATACAGGATATACACATATAGCATGATGATTAATATAACCAACCCTGTTTCAATCAAAGAATATACATAACCCAAGACAGATATTTAACGTTATTTGAAATATCCCCAGTATAGGTGAATTAAAGGTAAATTCATTTATTTAACCAGGTCATCAATGATCTAATTCAGGTCTTCATACCTAGGGAAATAGAGCCATCTATTGATGAAAGTCCTAAGGGCCACATTAATAATTAAATATTAAGATACGCCCATAACCAATCAAAAGCCAGATTTAAGTCCCAGGTACCGCCCATTTACAAACAAGGGGCAGAAACGGATAAGGGGGAAATAATGGTTAAATAGGGAGAAAAATAGGAGAGAGAATCAATATCTTCAGATCATCTTAAAAAAAGATCAAAGGAGAAAACAGAGGGCTAAGAAAGGAGGAGATTGACTGACTAAGGGCAATAGACTGAGTTCCAGACCAGGGCACCCAGAGAGGAGAATCCTGAATTGAATTCCTTCATCCTAGACTCTTGGTAATGTATAAAGGTTTCTCTTTACTTTATATTAAATAAACGGGACTATTGAATGCCCTATGTGTCTATATTGTGAACTGATCCCTATTGATAGAACAGTTATATCTCATTCCACCTGCAGCCTGAGTCAGATATAACTTCCTAAGTCGGAACATTCTTGATTCCTTTAGAAGTAGATCAGTTCAATATATATATATATATATACTTCAAAAACCAGAATATCCTTGCACTCAAGCTTAATATTATTGATAGCCAAAAAACATTTTCAGCCAAAAACAGTTTCTACTTGCCGGGTGCCAGTCATCTAAGGGGAATTCGATATCCACACAAATAGTAATTGAGCTGCACTCACGGTCTTCCCATTCAAAATATTTTCTTTATTTCATCAAGTAAACAAAACAAAAATGATTTGTTTACTTGATGAAATAAAGAAAATATTTTGAATGGGAAGACCGTGAGTGCAGCTCAATTACTATTTGTGTGTGTGTGTGTATGTATATATGTGTGTATGTATATATGTGTGTGTGTGTGTGTGTGTGTGTGTGTGTGTGTGTATATATATATATATATATATATATATATATAATGTGTATGTGTGTGTGTGTGTATATATATATGTATATGTGTGTGTATGTATATATGTGTGTGTATATATATATATTTATATGTATATATGTGTGTGTGTATATATATATATATATATATATATATATATATATATATATATTATTTATTTATTTATTTATTTTAAATCCTGGCCAGACCAAGACATAAATATTTTGGTGCTGCCTTGAGATTAGGAACCTGGCAATAAAACCATGCAGTATGGGTATTGATACCCTCGCATATATATACACTAAGGCTATCAGAAACCTTATATAAACGTACTGTAGTTAAACTGATGGTATATACTTGGCAGGGTTGGTTGATATTTAACCAATTAATATAATGACAATTGTATCATTAATGCAAGGGGTGTCATATATGATTAATTCTGTATACTGGTATTGCTGTGAAGTTTGTAATAGCTTTTATTGTCCTTTGCTGATCAGATTATAGATGAGACAAAGTGTAATGTTGACTCTTAGGCTTGTCAAGTAAACTAATTGACCTGTTGACATAAACTCATAATATAGTAAATTGATTATAATTGTATTGTTTTGTTGCTTTGCATTTTATAGTGTGTATTATTAGTCTGTTTATTGGCCATCTGCTGTTCATAAGTGTTTATATCACCGCTTAAAACAAAGAACTACAGGGTCCCTGAAGGCTCTATGTGCGTGTGAATATCATCAGATATTATTCAATATATATTCCATACATATAAAACCTGAGATTACCCAACAACTTTCTCTACACACATTAAGACAACCAGAAACCCCAGAAAGATCATCACAATACCCTGCCCTTTACCCTCACTTACCAAAAGTAAGTTAACTATCCTCTACTACTAACTTGACCGCCTCAGACTTTGCAACTCACTTCACTGACAAGATCTCTACAATCAGAGAAGAGATTTCTCATCTTTCTTCTTCCCCTTACAATACCTCCCCTAACTTCACTCCCTCTGATGTTCTATGTTCATTCACACCCGCTACATTGGAAGAGGTTTCTGCTCTGCTCCAGTTCTCCCGCCCCACCACCTGCTCCCTAGATCCAATTCCCTCGCATCTCATCCGTACTCTCTTTTTCTCTTTCTCCACCTCTCAGCAGGAAAAACTCTTGATCTTGCCTTCACCAACCTATGTACTGCCTCTAATCTCTCCAATATTACTTTTCCTCTATCTATTTCACTCCCTCTAGCATGTAAGCTCATTGAGCAGGGCCGTCAACCCCTCTGTTCCTGTGTGTCCAACTTGTCTGGTTACAACTACATGTCTGTTCGTCCACCCATTGTAAAGCGCTGCGGAATTTGACGGCGCTCTATAAATATCATAATAATAATCATGACTGAATAGAAGAGTGCAGTATATATACATGTAAACTGACATGGAATAAATTATTGCTTTTGATTTGTATTTCTTCACTACAGTAAACATACCTACCAAGATAATGTGCATATTTACCAGTGATTTATATACATTTTTAAATTTCCTTTTTTTTTGTAGATGTGTTTTGAACTTTCTGCAGCCCTTGAAGACGCAGCCAATGATGACTCTGTTTTTACTGTTATCACAGGTACTGACTGTATATGTAATGCTATATATAATATATATATTTTATTATGAATTCTTAAATGTATGCATAAACTGAAAATTATTAGGAAATCACCAGACAATTACAAATTGTAGAGCAAAATATCAGAATAAAAAAATAAATAAATAAATCATACTTTGTTGTTTGACTTTGCAACATTACTCCATTTCATGCTTAACCCAATATTGAAAAGTAAAAGTATCGATCTCTATCCTGGGAAGAGAAAATCTATCCAGGGTAGTTATTTGAAACCATGAAAATGCGTAAATGTCTTGGGAGATTGCTTAAAGGGACACTGTAGGCACCCACACCCCTTCAGCTAATTGAAGTGGTCTGGGTGCTGTGTCCTTATTGCACTTTGTTCTACAATGTAGAACATTGCAGTTCCCGAGAACTGCAATGTTTACATTGCAGCTCTAAGTCTGCCCTCAGTGGCTATCTACCAGACAGCCACTGGGGGCACTTTTGGAATCCGAATGGACTTTTGGATCCGTTATCTTACACGGGACATCCTGATGCTTTGCATGAGGACCTCCAGCGTCAGATTTTCCCCATAGGAAAGCATTGATTAATGGTTTTCTATGGGGAGGTCTGATGCGCGCATGGCCACTGCCATGCATGCGCATTATTTCTCCCTGGCTGAGGAGGGGGAGGAGTGTGGGTGGAGCCTAACCCAGCGCCGAGGGACATCGGTGCTTAATCCAGGTAAGTGGCCGAAGGGAGGACATGAGGGAGGGGGACCTATTAAACCTATAGTGCCAGGAAAACTGCTTTGTTTTCCTGGCACTATAGGATCCCTTTAACTAATGTGGCCGCAGCAGCCATCCAGGAACATAATAAATCCTGGCCAGACCAAGACATAAATATTTTGGTGCTGCCTTGAGATTAGGAACCTGACACTGCATGGTGGCAATAAAAACATGCAGTATGGGTATTGATACACCCGTTGAGCATTTGATTGGATATTGGTCTGGACAAGTTTCATTGGTTACATGAAATTTTATTGATTTACACAATACCAGAACGAAACTAGGTGCCATTAGTCAAATTTGTGACAGGGCTGGCAACCTCACAGCAAAATGTAAACTTCTGGCTGAATGAAAGATGATAACCTAGAGGTTCCTTTCCTTGAAGTCACACCATAAAACACTGCTTTCGGGAAAAAATAATTTCAAACAAACATGACTCCAGAGTGTCTCTCATGCAGTGGTGACTTGCTATGTTTCAAATCTAGACTGCCCTTGTGAGTGGGAACAATCTTGTATGTATAGGGCACCTTTCAAATGGCACAAGTGAATAAATCGTTGTATGAGACCTGAGCGGGTTCTAGCCTTCAATTAATAAGACTTCATAGGAACATCCTGGATGGATCAATTTATTTGTGTGTGAATTTGATTCGACTGAACCGGTCTAAACAAATGTTTGCATGAATTTAGCAAAAATTAACTGAAATGTAGGCTGATAATTTGTCTAGACTCCGTATTTGTTGAATTTCTGCTTTTGGCTTATTCTTTTAACCTTTGAATTGTTGGGTTGGTTTGTTTTTTTTTGGTAATGGAAAATACAATTATGGTAGCAAAATTATTCTTTCTTTTATTGTGTATGCAGGAGCTGGTGATTATTTTAGCAGTGGAAGTGACCTTACCAGTGCATTGAAAAGTAAAGAACAACTAGACGCACCACCTGTAAATTCTGAAAATCCTTTCAGGTATTGTGATCTTTAATTAATCGTTGTCAGTGTAAATTTTGTATTTTTTTGGAGGATTTTTTTTTTTTTTTTTACTTTCTTGCTATGTTTTGCTAATGTGTTAAACTAATATATTTCTTTAAACACTATATGTTGGTACAGAGTAGCAACTTGACTGAACTCCAGTAAAAATTAAACCAGTGTAATTTAACTCAAATTAACCAGTGGTTGACTGTGCCTCATAAGTATTTTAGTCCACAATGACTGAATATAGAAATATAGAATATAGAAAGAAAGTCACCATTTTATTGGACTTCAAAAAAATACCTAAAAACAGCACTTGAAATAATATATATATATATTTATTTTTTTTCACAAATCCTGAAATCTGAATAAAACCATGCAGGTTTGTCCTCACTATAATTTGAACATAGAGCTTCTTTGAATTTCAGAAGATAGTTCCAGTAAAAAAAAATTTCAGAGCTCACATTCTACATCCTCTGTGAGGTTGCTGGCTCACAAAGACCTATTTCAAACCTATTATGATATGGAATACTCCAAAATACAAATTTAAAAGGTGTGCTATACCTTTAAAAATTCAAGTTCAGCAAAGTGAAAAAGTGTAACTACAATACTGTATCAATTCTAAATTAGATGTGCAAATTTCATAAGTGTATATTGTGGTAAAGTATACTAAAATAACTTACAGGAGAAGTAGCAATATCGCGTTATTATTCCCAATGGGATGTAGAAATATGGTACATAAAGAGAAAAAAGGAAAAAAAAAATTGCACAACTGTATAGTATAAATAATAGATAAATGGATGAAATACAACTCACAAGGAAAGAGCAGTGGAAGTCTGCTCTAAATTTTCAGGCTTTAGTCCACAGAACAGGACTGGATGTTGGTAAGTATTCAGGACGACAGCTGAAAATAAAGTGATACTTACAAAAAACTAAAGAAAAGGGATTACAATGTTGGACAAAGCCACCACTGATTCCCCTTTAAGGTTCCTGAGCTATCCACGGGCATGAACCCCAAATTACACAGTACAAAAAGAAAAAGAATAGAATGGGGTGGCCACCCTCTCTGCCACTTGTGAGTTGTATTTCATCCATTTATTTATTATTTATGCTATACAGTATTATGCTATGTTTTTTTTCCTTTTTTCTCTTATGTCCCATATTTCTACATCCCATTGGGAATAATAATGCGATATTACTACTTCTCCTGTAAGTTATTTTAGTATATTTTACCACAATAAACACTTATGAAATTTGCACATCTATTTTAGAATTGAAACAGTTTGATACTGTATTGTATTTACACTTTTTCAATTTGCTGCACTTGAATTTTTAAAGGTATAGCGCACCTTTTTATCTTGTATTTAGTTTATGGGGTTTTTTTTTTTTTTTTTAGAGCTTTTGCACTAGTAAGGTGCTGCTTTACCTTTTTACATTGTTTCACTTATATTGTATCACAATTGTTTTTTGTTTCTTTTTTATATGGAATACTCCTGCTTGAAATATTGATAATGTTTAATTTTGAATCATTCTACATAAAGAATAACATATGTTTTAGTAATTTGCAAAAAAATATA